ATACGTACTGCTCTTATTAGTGATTTTTCCTTCAGAACAAGGGATGCAGTCAAAACAGCACTGGGGTTTCCCCTTCTCTCTCACCATGTGGGTACCAGGAGGACAGCTCTCGCTGCATACTGATTGAGGTGGCTTTAGGATGAAATCAAATATTAGCCTTTACACTTATATATACTAGACATGTGGCAAAAGTTAAATCTAAAAAAAACATATCTAACCTTTTTGGATTCAAGGTTCCAGAAGATTTTGTCTTCATCAAGTATGAGTTCTTCACCTTTGAAAGCTGACCTTTTAACCTCACCCACATTCTGAACTTTAGTGCTTCCATCAGGGAGCCACAACCAGTTCATCACATCATAAATTGGCAATGCATCACCATTCTCATCAAATGACACTTGATCGCCAAATAGAGTGGTGAAGTTCACCCATCTTAAGTAATACACCAGCTGTTAAAAAGGGATGCATAACAAGTAACTTACTTACTCAGCTGTAGCTTTACAGCTGCCAGCCACACATACACAACAACAACAACAACTTCAGTCAGGACCCAGTACAGACTTAAATGCAATGGAGGCGTGATGAGGTGCTGCAGCTCTGGTGTGTCAGCCTCCCTGCAGTGGCGCCACAAATCATGCCCCGCCACATACCCCCATGGCCTGACTGAGGCTGGGGAGCCATCCAGCTGACCCCTCCTACCACACACACACACTCGCACGAGTAGGTGAGGAAATCAACCACAACTGGTGGCGTCCCCAGCCCATGCCCCAGCGACATGGATGTTTGAATCTGTGGGCTCACTGTGGGGCATGGGGCATGAGGCGTGGCGCAGCAGGCGTGGACCAGACTCACCCTGGGGACCAGCATGCTGCCAGAACAGGTCAGACACCAGCCACTCACATGCGGTTGAGGGACATCAGTAAGGGCAGCGGCAGTAGTGGCCAGGACCCGATCTGAGCTGCCAGACTCTCTATCAACTGCATCCGGCAGTGGGATCTGTCCTACAGCTGTTTCAACTGCCGGCGAAACACCACTACCTGCTCCCTCTGTGTAGCCGGGAGCTTGTCCACCACAACCTGGCTGGCCCGGTCGGTATGCTCCGGTATGTCAGTTGCTGCAGCTCTGGTGTGTCAGCCTCGCTGCAGCGGCGCCACATACCATGCTCCCCCCACCCCCACCCCTCATTAAATAAAGAAATGTATTTTACATCGCCAATAATGCTTTATACATACAAGCTTCTGATCAAAATATATTAACTGCTAATTTTTATGGGTGTCAGCATACCAAACTAACTCAATTGACTCAGACCCAAAGTTCTTCAAATGAAAAGTCAGAAATTTATTTACAATCACCATGTAAAATATATCCAAAGTGTGGGGGTTGAGATATCCGGGGATCCATGCACCTTTCCAGTGTCACTGGATTAAATGTCACTCCACAACTCCACAACTCCGAAACTGGGAGTATGGAAAATCTATTTAGCTCACTCCAGCTTTTTAATAGTTAATATTATCACATTGTATTTAGTTCTATGTGAGAAATTCTATCCTGAAAGTAATTATAAAGCAAAGAATTTATAAACTGAATGTAAAATGATATCACACCTGCCAAGGCTCCAGTGACTGCAAAGTGGCACAGCTGTTCCCACTGAATGGCCCTCCTCCTGGCTTGCACCGCAGCATGTCATCAAGGGAATATGCCAGTGCATAAACAGCTTTGTACACATTATACTCAGGTCGCAGGTTGGAAACATCCAAGAATTCATTATCCACATTTTCTAGATCTTCCTGTCCAGTACATATTGCACCTCCACCTTCCAGCCAGCCTGCTGGAGCTGGTGCAAATCTGCACTGAAATGTGAATTCCCAAAACTGGTTCACCTGAAATAATGTTTTATTGTTTTTTACAAATTATGGAAATTGTTCCAACTAGTACATTAAAAACGTAAACTCTCACCATACTATTTCCGTAGCTGTTATTGTGATGTAAGTCAGGACGTATTTGTAACAGGAATTCCCTGAATCCTGGTATCTCGCCTCGACGAATAGCGATACCCAGTGTACCACGCAGGTATGGCATAAGCTGAGGTGTTTGGAGCACAACAGCTGCTGTCCAGGCTTCACTGGCCATCCATTGTAGGCCAGTTACATTTTGCCTCACTACCTGTGAATTAGATTACACCATATTCTATGAAAAGATATTGTAACTACAACCTGTTTATTGACATTATCATGCTATTTAAGCTATTATTCACCTTTAAATGAATTCTTCATGAACAGTTTTCTGTAATCATTCAAATAATGATGTAATAAATGTTTTACACAATACAATGATTCAGACCTTTGCAATTAATAATAATTGGAATGTTTTAAAGCCAAACCTCTTCCATAAGGTGTATCATGCGACTGTAATGTTCAAAGACAATAACAACTCGAGCTGTGGATTTTTTCATCACATCAACAATCCTCCTGAGTTCTTCTGTGTCTTTGTCCCAGGGCAAAACCTCAGTGTAGGCCAGGCAACTTTCACTTAACAGACTCAGCTCAGATTGAAACGATCTTGCTGCGTGAAGTCCATAATCATCGTCACTGACAAGCAGACCTACCCAAGTCCAACTGAAATGCTTCAGAATCTGAATCATAGCACGTACCTAAGTGTAAGCGCATAGATAAGAACAATTTTCCACATGATTATTACACCTTTATGGTGGCAAATTAGCTTTGTTCATAACAAAGTAAAACTGTAACTGAAAAAAACATTTTAGTATCATAGTATGCATATTGTTGAAAAGTAGGCAATTTCTTTAACCAAAACATCTTTGTCGACAACAAAAACAATTGTTGACAGATTTTCACCTGGAAAGCATCACTTGGGATCGTCCTAAAGAATGATGGGTATTTCTGATGGTTACTCAGGCAGGAACATGTGGCAAAATAACTCACCTGAAAGATATAGACTACAGATTGTACCGATATTGATGTAGAGATGTCTTAACTTTGTCATGTTACTTCAAGTGTCTTTAAATTTGAAATTAAATTAAAATAATCCAAGAAAACTATTACATTGTCGAGCAGAAAACTTACCATAGGTACTCTGTACAAACCTAAGACGTTGGAGATGGCAATAGAATTTGTAGAAGATGAATCACCCACAATCCCTATGACAGGAGGATTTCCAATACATGTACTATTTAATATAATTTTCTCTTCTTGACCACTGGCCAATGACAATGCTGCACGAAATCCAATTCCAAGTTCAAGACAGCTATCATACATAGTGTACCCCAGAGTCACATTAGGTAGCAGGTTTGAGTTTCTATTGATCTCATCAATAGCAAAGGCCATGGTTTGTGCGAGCTTAAATCCTAGGGCATAAACACTAAGAAAAGAAAAATGTAACTGAAAAACACTTTTTTATTAAGATAAATTTTCATCTAAGATACTTTACTGCAACATGTGTCACAATTACTTATTATTAAAAAACATTATAAACAATTAAGGAAACTGAATAACAACGATAAACAAGATATTATTTTCATGACAAATAATATAGATGCACCATACAAGATACATGCATTTATCCTGAATGATAATAAATCAGAAAGTACAGTTACTATGAATTACAATCTCATATTTCCTTTGCATTTATTTCGATTTCCCTTTTTTCCCCCAGCCTTACTTACCCATTGCAGGTAGGTTGTTGTGGTTTTGAAGTAAAAGACTGAATAGCAACACTTGAAAAGAAGTGGATTTGAAACAGTCCCCCTAGAACCACATCACCAGCCTTGTACATCCCATTTAGATCAAACTGTCCCTGTAACTGACATGAGAGAGAAAACTTAGAAGAGGATATGACCAAAGAACAGTAAGAAGATAGCAAAACAAGCATGAGCAAACTGGTTTGTAAAGAAGAGCCCATAACAGCTTTCTGATTTTCTGAGCTCAGTCATTAGGTTTTATTTCAATGCCTTTGTCTTTTATTGACATTTTGTGTTGTTTAATCTTGCACACCACCCGAGAAGGATAAGAGTGGGCGGGGCCTAAAAGACTTGAAATTGTTTTTGTATTTTGTATCCATATGAAGTTAAGTACTACTGTGAGTCGATTACATATCACCCCCCC